AAGTGAAGAGGGGAGTGAGGTAAATCGTGATAGATGAAAAAAATGAGTGTGAGAAATAAAAGTGAAAAACGTGGTTATAGTGAAAAGATCAGATATTGAAATATGTGGTGCAGATTAAAAACGTTGTTATTTTTACGAACAAAAAGATGTGGTGCAGATTAAAAACGTTGTTATTTTTATGTGGTGCAGATTAAAAACGTTGAAATATGTGTTAATATTTTTAACAATATTAACACGATTTAACAGAGGGTACAATAGACTATACACATTTTCAGTTTTTTTCTTTTATTTTTCACATATTTAACAGAAGGATATAGTAGACATTTCATGTTTTCGGTTAAAAAAATTCGGTCAACTGTTAGTCAAGGGGGGTTTTAGTAATTACGAGAACGTGGGGGGATTTTCATTATTCAGGCTTACCTCAAGGCAGTTTTGGTAATTTGCCCAAAAAATAAAATACCTGAAATGATTTTTGCGGGGTCATTTTTACTAATATAGTTCATTTCTTCTCTCCCTTCCCCTACTCTTCCTTCTCTGACTTTTTCTCCCTCACTCGCCCAAACTAGGCGTGAAAAAGCACATTTGACGCCCAATTTGTGCGTGAGGCTTGATTATTTCGTTTTTCCTTTATTTGTATATAAATAAAACTAATATCTTTTTTATATTAGCAAAATAACTAATTATTCTAGGGCCGTGCGTTGGTTGAGTTGGTTAAAAACCAGCCATAAAACCAACCCAATTCATTCAACCAACTTTTGTAAATATTGGAAACCGTTATCGACCCAATTTACATAGGTTGGATAATGGTTGAAAACCAATTTAGTAGGTCGGTTGATGGTTTGGTTGATGGGTCAACCATCTAAATATTTTTTTAATTTTGTTTAATATTTTACAAGTTGTTACAATGCTATATCTTTTATAAATTAACCATGACTTGTTCAACAATATTCAAATAAAAATTTCAAAACATTAAGGGCCATATGTATTGCAATTAAACATACATAGTTCAACAAATAATAATTGTCCAAACATTTAGGCTATATGTTTTAAAATTAAAAATTAAAATAGTTCAAATTAGATAATTATGTTAGATTTATTACTTTTAGGATTTTAGTCAATATTAGACAATTTAATAAATGTAATATAAAATAGAAATTTGAAATAAACAATATTAAACATTTTAAATAAAATTAATAAATAAAAAATTAATAAATAAAGTTGGTTGGAAGATATTACCCGACTAACCAACTTTTTAGCATATTAAAATCCATTATCGACCCGACTATACATGGACTGGTTGACATTATCGACCCAACTTAAATGGGTCGGTTGATGGTTGATTATCCGTCACAAATTGTTGGTCGAAAATGGGTTGGTTGGTGGTTAAAACCGATCCATGCACAACCCTAAATTATTCATTAATACTAAATATTTACCCTAAATATCTTTATGAATAAGTAGGCCATGGTGAACTTATTTGTAATAAATCCTAAATAAAAAAATTAGGGTAAATGTACTTATTAAAAAAAATTTATTTGCTCTCCAACTGCTTATTTAAAAAAATTAAAATTTTTCAAAAAAATATTACCAAACACTTTGGAAGAGCTTATAAGTTCTTAAACATATTATAAGTTTTTTTTAACATCTTAGAAGCTTAGGCAAACACACTCTAATACTAATATGAATACCAACACTAACACTAACACCGACACTAATATTAATAATTCTTGGCTCTTGCAGCAACATGTTTAGCTAGTTGTGTTACCTCTTTCATTAATGACAAAATTGTCCTTCTAGTTTTTATCTTTATCACAATGACATATTCAATTATTTGTTTTTATTAAACTTTTAGTATAAAATAAAAATAAATAAAATTTGAAAAAAAATTAAAAACAAAAAAAAAATTAAAGATATAAAATAAAATAAGAAAAAATATTTTTTTCCGAAAACCAACATTAAAAAAAAAAGTTCAAAAAACTAATTTTTTTTGAAAAAAAAGAATTGGAAAAAAAATCAGTTTTTTTCGAAAAAATAGAATATGTTTATTTTGAATTAACAAACCCAAAAATATTATAAAAAAATAATATTTTTTTCGGATTTTTTTTTCGAAAATAATTTTTTTTGGAAAATTTGAAGAAAGAGAGTTCGAAAAATAAGAAAAAATACCTTTTTCGAAAAAAAATAAAAGAAATAAAATATAAATAATAAAAAGAAGAAGAAAAACCTATATACAATAAGAAAGGATAATTCGGTCACTTTTAGGTAACTGTGTTTATGTTAAGGAAACCAAATATCAAACACTACAATAATGAGGAGATAAAAAATCAAAAGTTGATAACAAACATCTTATAAAATAATAGGCCTTTTGTTTTATAGGAATAATTATCTTATCTTGTCAACCAAACGAGGCCAAAGTAAATTATAAGAGAAAAAGTTTGTACCCAAAAAGAAAAGCCAAACTCTAACCCAACTCCCATATTGGGCGTGGGAACTGGGAACAACAATTTCACGCCTAATTTGGGCTTGAAGTTGTGGTTTCTAGTTCCCACAGCCAACATGGGCATTGATCAAATTTTATTGCACCCGTTTGAGCGTGAGGTAAACAATTTCACACAAGTTTTAGACATGAATAGGCGAAAAAAAGAGTAGATTTTTCAATCCCTAGAGAGAGATTATGACAATTGAAGCGATATTCGTAAAAATAAAAACGGTATTTATCAACTACCTTTAACAAATCTAAGAAATTCGATGATCATGTCATAGTTGAACCACCCTCCCCACCCCATCCAATATATCTAGAACTGAGCACAGCACCTTAACCAGTTCCACTTCAAATAATGGTTATGTTTTTCCCATATGAACAATTTGAACCATATGTTTGCTCTACACGGTAAAATACTCTATATGCTTTTAAACTGCAAGTCTACACATAATAAAACACCCACTCATGTTTACACGGTGAAAGATTAGGATTTTTTTTTGTGACAAAAATCAGAAGATAGGAAAAGAGAATTTAGAACTTTTTTTGCATTAATTTAGATTTTGAGTGGACTAAATAATAAAAGTTGGGTGGACATAATAAACGTATAGATGTAATATAGTGAATATTTTTTCGATTGAGGGTCGACTTGAGTCTATCCTTCACATTTGGTTCCAAGTCTCAATCCGTAACTTCATTATCTTATGTGTTACGCTCATTTATTATCTTTTTTTTTTTCAATTAAAATATTTAACTTTTATTTTTATATAAAACTAAATTATAAAATACTATAAGAGCACAATACAAAGACAATTAATTATATATACATATATAGACAATAAATTATTAATATTTAGGAAGATTCTAATTATGTAAACATTTTCTTTATATTGGCACAAATAGTATATGCAAAAAGATATTTTCTTTTAAATACATAGGTGTAGACAAAAACATATTTGGACGTCAGCTGAACAAATAGTATCTATGGGTTTAAAGTGAAGATGGACTTTTGGTAGCATCAGCATCCAAATTGCAACAAGTGTACGCGGCATACCATGACTTTTTATTTAAACTAGCTAACCATTATTCAATTATAGAAGCTTCTTATTAATTATTATTTTACTAGGTCATGTTTTCAAATAAATAATTTTCTTTTATATTTCTCCAATATAATAATTGGCTACACATGTTCAATTTCTCCCTTTGGAAAAAAGATAACTATAAATATTTGGCGTGTCGCTTTGGGCTGTTTTTGTGCACAAGCCATGACGATAAATAATAACTAAAATAATAACAACGAAACTAACAATAATAATTAATTAGGGATGAGCACAAAAACCGAGAAATCGAACTGAAAATCGAAAAAATCAAGCTGATATGCACTGTCCTGACTTAAAACAACATTTGCGGTAATTGTTTTTTGAAAAACCGAATATATCGATTTGTGTATGGAGAATAAACAAATTACCAAACCGATTATCCGAACCGAACTGATTTGTACAAACCGACGTCGTTTTGATATATAGTATAAATATTTACCATCTTCCCCTAGCGCGCCTCTATCCTTTGAACGCCTCTATGTGACATTTTTTATTAGTTAATTTTGGGTCGTGACATGTTATTTAATAGTTAATTTTGATTTATTTGTTAATTTATCAAACAAATGTAATGAAAAGTCCAAATTTACTGTTAGTCAAATATCGGTTTTATGCCGAACCATAATAGACGAACTGAAACAAAAAATAAACCAAAACCGTTAACCAAAAGCCAAAAATTCGATTAACACCGAACCATAAAAACCGACATGAGTTCGGTTCTTAAAATGTGAAAAACCGATATTATTGGTACGTGTTTGGTTTATTGCAAAAACCGAGCTGTACCGAACCATGCACACCCCTAATAATAATAATAATAATAATAATAATAATAATAATAATAATAATAATAATAATAATAATAATAATAATAATAATAATAATAATAATAATAATAATAATAATAATAATAATAATAATAATAATAGTTTTATTGTAAAATAGAAAAAAAGTAATAAATAATAAAAAAAATTAAATAAGAAGCTCACGAAATGTCGAACAACTTTAATTGGGCTCGAGCTCGATTTCGAGTTTTTGTCGAGTCAAGTCGTCGAGTTCACGAGTCGACTCAACTTATTTACCACTTCTATGGAAGTTCTGTGTTTACGTTAAAATGAAAAGAGGTCATGTGCTATATTCAAAATACAAGAGGGTGATGTGCACAAATTTCACAACACAACACAGGAGGGGTCAGTGTTATTTACCCAAAAAGAAAAATAGTATAAATTTGTACACGCGAGAAATAAAAGTTGAAAGAATAAGCATTACGAACCAATAAACATACCTTCACATTTTACATTTCAGTACAAATTAATGCTACCACGCGTCTATATTTTGACCTTAAAAATATTTGACTTTCCTAACTCTTACCATAAATAAATCACACTTTTAGACCAATTTTAATTTTAATATTTAGAAGTAAACATATATTGCATTCGCAGCGTTTTAAAACGGGTATCCTAGACAATGACTTTTCACCCTCTATTTTGTTTAAAGTCAATAAAAGGAAACTTCAACAACAGAACCATTAACACACACACATGACTTTGTCAATCCATGCACACGTATACACTTTTGCACCAAACCCCCAAACTTTATATAAAAACCAAACTCATTTCTCCAAATAAAATATACTTCCATTCCTTTAATTTATCCTCATACTTCAAAATTCTTGATCTTAAAAAAATGGCCGATCATCAAAGAATCCATCCAGTACACGAACATGAGGCGATGGTGGTGGTTCCACTTACACCGCAGAAAGCCACCGCCCCTCTGATTACTCGGGGATCTTCCAAGTCGGAGCACGGCGACCCGGAGAGGCAGTATCCACCGCCGCCGGTCCACCGTACGATCCCGTACGCCCCGTTGAAACCGCCAAAGAGGAGATCAAGTTGCTGCAAGAAATGCTTGTGTTGGACCATATCCCTTCTGCTACTCCAAATCGTAATTATCGGGATACTAGCTGCGGTCGTGTACTTTGTCTTCGATCCCAAAGTGCCAAAGTACTCGGTCGACGCCATGAGAATAACGCAGTTCAATTTCGGCAACGACAACAGCCTGTCCGCCACGTTCAACGTGAACATCACCGCGAGAAATCCGAACAAGAAGATAGGGATATACTACGAGAGCGGGAGCCATCTGAGCGTGTGGTACACCGGCAGGAAGCTGTGCGAGGGTTCGCTGCCGAAGTTTTACCAGGGACACCGGAACACCACCTTGCTCAGCCTCGCGCTGGCGGGGCAGACGGCTGATGCCGCCGGTTTGGTGCAGTCTTTGCAGGCTCAGCAGCAAACCGGAAGCATCCCGTTGAATATCCGGGCGAAAGTTCCGGTGAGGCTGAAACTCGGGAAGTTGAAACTGATGAAGTGGAAGTTCTTGGTGAGGTGCAGGGTGGATGTTGATAGTTTGGCTGCAAATAATGCCATCAGTATTAGAGATAGCAGCTGCAAATTTAGGTTTAGGCTCTGATTATTTATATATCTTCACTTTCTTGTTATACTTGCTTTATCTTTTTTGTTATTCCTTTTTTTTTTTTTCAATTTCTTGATGATGATCATTTTTTACTATATATATAATTGATTTTGGGTATTCATTCTATGAGCCTTATTCATTTATTCATTTGTTTGGACTTCATCAGTATAATAGCACGTGGGCGGTTGTATTTTCTTTCTTATTGATTTCTCAATTAGTGAACAAAATTTAACTATTACATTTCTTTTCTTCCACCACGAGAACGTTTCTACATTAAAGTAAAGATAACAAAGTCAATATATTGGGATAAAAACCATCTCAACATCTCGCTTTAATATACTCAAAATATACTCAAAATCTAAGAACTTAACACTAGGGTTGAAACGAGTACCATACTGTGAGATAGTGCATCAGCCACTACATTGTCTTTACATTATTTGTACTGTATCATAAAAAGGAAACATCTTGATAAGAACCACCCATCGAAAATGTCTTCGGTTCAGCTTGCCTTGGCCCTTAAGACGTTTTAATGATTCGTGATCCGTGTGGATTACGAACTCCTTAGAACACAAGTCATGTTGCCAAGTCTTCAATGCTCGCACCAACACGTAGAGCTCTTTGTCATAAGACGAGTATTTCAAAGCTTCACCATTGAGCTTCTCGCTGAAATAAGCGATATGTATGTCTTGCATAAGCACTGCACCGATACTTATAATACGAGAAACATCACATTCGATTTCAACAGTTTTATAAAAATCCGGTAAAAGTAATAAAGGAGCGGAACTTTTCTCATCTTTCAAAGTGTAAAATGCCTTTTCTTGAGCTTTTCTCCAGTTGAAGCCGACCTCCTTCTTGATCACCTCGGTCCAAGGAGCTGCAATTATGCTAAAGTTTGGCACAAATCTCCATAAAATCCAGCTAGGCCATGGAAACTCCTTAACTCGGATGCGGTTGTGGGTGCATGCCATTCACGAATAGCCTTAACCGTCTTCTCGTACACTTCGACGCCCCTAAACTTAACGAAGGAAAACAATTCTATTTTGGCAAAAATCACACTTCTTTAGGTTAACATATAGGTGTTCACGCCTCAATGACTCCAATGCACACCTTAGATGTTCAATATGATCATGAAAGTTTATACAGTAAACTAAGATATCATCAAAGTAAATAACAACAAATTTTCCTATGTAGGCTTGCAAGACATGATTCTTAAGTGGCATAAATGTACTAGGTGGATTAGTAAAACCAAAAGACATCACTAACCATTCATACAATGCATACTTACTTTTACTGCAATTTTCATTCATCTCCGTCTTTCATGTGAATTTGGTGATAACCACTTTTCCAATCAATTTTAGAAAATAGCCACATAGTTCATCCAGCATGCCGTCTAATCGATGAATGTGGGTATTGATACTTTACCATAATTTTTTTGATGGCTCGACAATAACCATACATTCTCCAACTTCCATCCTTCTTCGGTGGCTCGATAATAAACATAATTTTGTTGATGGCTTGATATATGTGAAATATTTGATTTGAATGATTGTATGACTTTGTATAAATTGTTTCAATTTGTTAGTAGTAATTTAATTTTAAATTAAAAATTAATATGTATGCTTGTTCTCGCGAGAGCGATTAAGGTACATAATTAATCTATGTGCGCGTATGTTTAAATAACATGAACTCTTTTATGTAATTATTTTTTGTTTCCGTTGAGTATAAGTGCATCGATTTGCAACATTAATTGCACAGACTCTCATGTGAAATGTCTAAATATCGGATACCCTCTAAGTGAAAAGATTTAGGTAATACCACCCCCTATAACACAATTAATATATATAGCCCACCAGCCCTATCCAAGATCACTGCTTTGACTATAAGGGCATCCCTAATGGAGTCTCCAAACTATTGGGAAGCATATTATAGAACTTTCACAAAAATGCCAACACCAATAAGGCTCTAGATGGTCTCTATATTTAGAGACTTTGCCAAAGTCTCTAAATTTTTTCTAAATATAGTATTGTGTTTGAAGACCCAAATTTGCTGGGACCCATAACGAATGGGCTGTAAATTGTAGAACTCAAATCATCAAAGCATAAATTCTGAATTGAAAATTGAAAAACTTAATCAACATAGGAATATGACGTTGGGCTTCAATGGGAAGAAAAAAAGATGAAATGCATAAATAACTGATTGGGTTTCACGTTCTTCATTCATCTCCTTCAATTTTTCTTCATTGTCAAAAAATCAGTGAGTCTATTTTTTTTTCCTTTTTTTTTTCAGATGTTACGAGAAAATTGAGAGAGAAGGAATTTTTTTTTTCTTTGAGGATGGGGTGAGGTTTTTAATTGGAGAGATAAATTATGTTTTGGTTTGTGATGTTGAAAGGTGAAGGTTGGGGCAGGCGGTGCGAGAGAAATTTGGGAGCAGCTAATTTTTTTCTTCTTCTTTCTTTCTTTCTACAAAACGTATGTGGTGAATAAATTAGGGAATTGGGGGTGGGGTGGCGGTGGGGGATTAAGCAAGATAGTGGGTTGAGCTATAATTATGGGTTTTTGTTTTTTTTTTTTTTTTTTTTTTTTTTTTTTTTTTTTTTTTTCTTTCTTTTTTCACTTATTTTTTCTTTTATTTTTAGTGTGTTTATTTTATATTTATTATTGTGGTTTATTTCATTTTATTAATGTATTTTAATCTATAATTGTGCTTATATTGTTGAAATTATTTATTGTATAGCAATGGAAGATGGTGAAGGAAGTAAAAGGGCCGTAATCTTTTACCCGAAGAAGATACAATTTTATGTCGAGCTTATATTGTAGTTCAAGATTTCTTATATCTTCAGAATTTTTCGTTTTTTGGATGGAAATGTGTTTTAAAAATAAGGGTTAACTGCAAAAAATCCCCTAAACTTTGGACGTTTTTGCGCTTTACCCCTGAAAGGAAAAAAGTTGCACGGGCATACCTGAACTTGTTAAATTGTTGCACCGATGATTAAAAAATCCATTAATAGCAAAATTCCTGCCTGAATTGCACACGTGCAACTCACACGTGAAAATGAAGGGGCAATTTCGTCAATTCACAAGACTTTCAAATAAAAGAATAAAAAAAAGGAGAAAAGAAAAAGAAAAAAAAAAGAAAAAATAAAAAAAGAAAAAGAAAAAAAGCCCAGCCATCTTCTTCGTCCCTCTTGCTGCAAAACAGGGGAAGATTTTTCACACCACCGCCACCACCATCTCTCCACCGGCGCCGCACCACCATCTCTCTCCACTGCCGCCGCACCATCTCTCTCCACTGCTGCCGCACCACCATCTCTCTCCATCTCCGCCGCCGCACCACCATCATCTCCACCGCCGCACCACCACCTGAAATTATCATATAAAATTACTAAAAATTCAATATGAAAAATCCCTAATCTCCAATGAATTCATATCGAAAATTCATAATAATTTGTTCACAGCTTTCAAGTGTAGAATTTCTTCCCCTTTTTCGTAGTGATTTCGGGAAACACACACACAGTGGCGTATGTAGCATAGTCCTAGGTGTGCAGTTGCACACCCTTGGATTTAAAAAAAAAAAAAAAAATTTTATAATAATTTTTGGGTTTTTTTTATATTTATAACTAATGGGGGGTTAAATTGAAATTTAGTAAAAATTAATATAACCTTACCCACAAACAGAGGCCATTTTCCAGAAGGCTTTTTCCTCTGTTTTTCACTTTTGACTCCAGTAACAAAATATAAAAAAAGAGAACACAAACGCTTCACCAAAAAGTTGGAAAAAAAAAACGATCGTGGTTTGGTTTCCTTCTCCCTTCGTCAACTCCGATCAAACAACACATGATTTCCGCCACCAATCCAACTCTGATCAAACGATCGTGGTTTGGTTTCCTTCTCCCTTCGTCAACTCCGATCAAACAACACATGATTTCCGCCACCAATCCACCCCATATATCCTTTTAGTTGGATATATGCACTTTGCACGTGCACCACATTATGTAGGGATTCCATCCATTTTTAATTATTATAAAAACTTCTATTTTTATCTAATTATATTTATTTTCAGAAACTAGATCGATTTGTGACAAAGACAAAACGCTCTCGGCTAGAAGAACCATCAACATCAAATGATAATGTGAATATTGGAAGGCCAACTAATGATATCGTCCAAGAAGAACAAGTTCAAGGTATTCACTCTCAATTGCAAATAGAAGTTAATGTGAACACTATTGAGGCCGACCCGGGATTAAGATTGCCTATTAGTGTTCTTGCTAAGACTTCAAAAGAGCTTGAAACTATCCGGAGAGCTTACTTGCAAAAAGGTCCTTGTCAACCTCGACTCCATACATTTCCTCAATCTACTTTATATGGACAAGAACGTAGATTTAGTGCGGATTGGTACAATGAATTTGGTAGTTGGTTGGAATATAGTGAAAGTAAAGATGAGGTATTTTGCTTATGTTGCTATCTTTTTAAGGTTGGCGATAGTGCAAAAGGGGGTGGTGATAAATTTGTTGGTGAAGGTTATAAGAATTGGCACAAGAAAAAGAGTTTGAGAACACACGAGGGAAATCATGATAGCGTTCATCATCATTGCTACATGGCTTGTCAAGATTAAATTAATAATAAATGTCACATAGATGTTCCTCTTGCGAACAAAACTAAAGAATCTAAACGTGAGTATTACATTCGGTTGCGTACAACGACTAAAGCCATAAGATATCTCTTACGGCAAGGACTTGCATTGCGGGGGCATGATGAATCAAATGAGTCGCTAAATAAAGGTAATTTTGTTGAGCTTATCAAGGTTATGGCGGAAGACAACGATGAAATTAATCGAGTTGTTTTGGATAACTCTCCGGGAAATTGCATAATGAAAGCACCAAATATTCAAAACCAAATTATCAGTTCATTTGCCCATTTTGTCTTGAAGGCTATTCTTTGTGACATTGGTGATGATTTCTTTGCTTTACTAGTTGACGAGGCACGTGATGTTTCCATTAAAGAACAAATGGCCGTTGCTTTACGTTATGTGAACGGTGAAGGGAAAATTATTGAACGTTTTATTGGCGTTGTTCATGTTCCAAACACTACTGCACGATGTCTGAAAGTTTCTCTTGAGTCTCTTCTTACGACATTTGGCTTGAGCTTGTCACGTGTGCGTGGCCAAGGTTATGATGGAGCTAGTAACATGCAAGGAGAGTTTAATGGTTTGAAGAGTTTAATATTGAAAGAAAACAGGTCTGCTTTTTATGTCCATTGTTTTGCTCATCAACTTCAGTTGGCTCTTGTGCAAATTACTAAGAAGAACAAGCAATTATGTGAGTTTTTTGGTTCTCTTGCAATGTTAGCAAATATTATTGGAGGTTCTTGTAAACGTCAAGAGTTGCTTCGGGAGAAACAATTTGAAAAACTGTGCGAAAAGATTTCTTTTGATAATTTTGTAACGGGTAGTGGTTTGAATCAAGAAGCCACTTTAAAAAGGCCGGGAGATACACGTTGGAATTCATATTATTTCACAATTTTGAGTATGATTAAGTTGTTCTCGTCGGTGGTTGATGTACTAGAGTATTTAGCAAATAATGGTGATGATGTTGCTCATTGTGGACAAGCCACAATTCTTTTAAGAAATATTGAGTGTTTTGAGTTTACCTTTGTTTTGCACTTAATGAGATCAGTCTTGGGAATCACAAATGATTTATCACAAGCATTGCAAAAAAAAGACCAAGACCTTGCTAATGCCATGAAGCTTGTTACTTTTGCTAAAGATCGACTGCAAGAATTGAGAGAAGATGGTTGGGGCAAATTGTTGCAACAAACTTCAGACTTTTGTGTTGAGCATGACATTCTTGTCCCAAACATGGATGATAATTTTCTACTTTACTCAAGAGATGGCAGAATATCCCGGAGAGGTACACAAATTACAAACTTGAATCATTATCAAATTGAGGTGCTTTACACAGTCATAGATCTTCAACTTTCAGAGTTGAACGATCGTTTTGATAATACCAATACGGAGTTACTTAGTTTGATATCGTGTTTTGATCCAAGTAATTCGTTCTCTGCTTTTGATACAAATGCTTTGGTGAAATTAGCTGGATTTTATCCAAGCGAGTTTGATGATTGTGGTCTTATCGTTCTTGAAAATCAACTTGAAAATTTTATTAGAGATGTTAGAAGTGATCAAGACTTTTCAAATATGGTGGGGGCTAGTAGGCTTGCTGAGAAGTTGGTTGCAAAGAGAAAAAATATTACTTATCCATCGGTGTATTTGCTATTGAAGTTGTCGTTAATTTTGCCGGTTGCAACCGCATCAGTGGAAAGGGTATTTTCTGCAATGAAGATTGTCAAGTCAGAACTACGCAATCGTATGGGGGATCAATTGTTGAATGATATTTTGGTGTCGTACATTGAAAAGGATATATTAGATAATGTTAGTGTCGACGAAGTGATGACTTTTTTCCAAGAAATGGGACCACGTCGAAAAATATTTTAGAACTTTTTATTTGTATATTAAAACGGTAGTATTTTTAAAAAAAACGGTAGTATTTTTAAAAAAAATTCCATGTGTATTATTTATATATTTTTTTGTTATTATATTTCAAACACCCTTAATTAAAATCCTGGATTCGCCACTGCACACACACACACACACACACACATAATAATAAGAAAATAGAGAGGAAAAAAACATGCCTGGTCTCTCTTGCAGTTGAAATAGGTTTCTCTAAGCCCCACACACTCGCTGGAAATGTGTGGGCTCTTCTCTTTCGCACATTCTCCATACGGCCGATTCTCTACCTACATCAATTCATCAAAAAAAATCATGATTTAAATCACTCAATTCTACAATACAAAAGTCCCCAATTGCAAAATATACCTACATTTCCAATGAATTCAGTTCAAATCTCGATTACACATTTCCAATTAGCCAATCTCGTCTCACCAATTAAAAAAAATGATGAAATTAAAGAAGAGAAATCACAAAGGTTTCGTTCGTTGTACCTTGACGCAATCGGATTCGCTGAGGCATTTGACGAGTTCCGTAGCCAGACCTTTGCACGACTTCGCCATTTTTTCTAAAACCTCTGAAGAATTTGTTTCTCTCTCTGAGTTTTTATTTGGGAGATGTATTTTTAGTTTATTTTTTTATTCTTTTATCTGAAAGTCTTGTGAATTGACGAAATTAGCCCTTTATTTTCACGTGTGAGTTGCACGTGTGCAATTCAGGCAAGGATTTTGCTATAAATGGATTTTTTAATCATCGGTGCAACAATTTAACAAGTTCAAGTATGCTCGTGCAACTTTTTTCCGTTCAGGGGGTAAAGCGCAAAAACGTCCAAAGTTTAGGGGATTTTTTGCAGTTAACTCTAAAAATAATTAAGATTGTTAAAATAAAATATAATTATCTACAATCTCGTATATGAATAAAATTTTGAGCCCTAATCAAATTACTACATAAAATAATCCATAACATGATTTAGAGACTCAAAATTATAGAGTCCTCCATTGTGGAATATTTTTTTTAGAGACTGTGAAATTGTACCGAGTCACCATATGGGTCTCCAAAACAGAATTTGGAGACTCAGTTAGAGATTCCCTAAGGAAAATCGTGAAATAATTTCCACCTATATTTCCCCCGATCCCCACTATTGATGCAATCTCTACCAAATCCATTTTTGTCTTGCGAATCGCGATAGAAACCTTAAAAAGACCACATTTATCTTTTGAATTTGCATTCACGGCCCCATTTACGAAAACCACCTAGGAAGAACAATGGGAAATATCCATTAGAATCCTGTTTGAAGTTTCTGAACCTAATTTATGTAATTTTTAATATTGCACGAGGTAAATCGAACATTATTTTCTACTTGTCGTTTTTTGGACCTCCCGGAACTTTTGTACTTTATATATCTTCTTGGAATGTGTCGGTTGTATCTTCAAGGAATATTTCGGTTGTAGTGTTATTTTTTCGGGTATTTGTGGGTTGTAGTTCTTTTTCTAGCTTTTATTATTTAACGGGACACATGTTATTTGCATTTTTGTTATGTCTCAGTTTGGGCTGAAATTTTGAGTTTGGGCCCAAAACACTCAATATTTAACTAAAAATATTAAGCCCAATAGCAAGTAAATCAATAATTTTATAGGCCCAACTTGATTTTGCCCTAAAACATTCGTGAACGGGAAGAAAACATTTTTCATCTCTTAAGAGAAAAAACAAGCCGTGTCTGTGAGTTACCTGTTAGAGTAGGTGACCAACAAGCCAACCTGTGGCTGTGGTCTTTCGTATTTATTATTGTAATAAACGAACCTTTATTCGTATTAATGATAAAACACATTGGCATTCTATATCTTTGTCCCTTTGTCACAAGCATAGATATAGTCCTTACAGTTATTACAAGTACTAGTAATTGATCGTTAGGATCGTGAGATATTTACTTGAGTATTATAACTGTTAAACATGTTCCTAGTCGAAGGGTTACGCCACTAATGAGGATATCGGCCTTTCCCATTAAGACTAGCACTTAGTGTATGTGTACTGCATCTCATCAGTAAACGGTATTGTGATATCGGCATGCATAAGTGGGTGCTCGTAAGTTGACGAGTTCACTGAACTCCCTCACCCTAGAAATCTCTAAGTGGTTCCCAATAATCGAGTAGAGATATCTATGGTATAGTTGTACACCATTAGTCCTTATGACCTAGACATCACCGTGACTTCACTAGAGGACCAGCTGTATCGTGACCTGTCCCTGAGTTCCACCGAGGACCATCCCAAGGGCCAGTGTTCGTGCAGTCCAAAATCTAGTGGGAGGTCTGTGCATTGTAGTCGGGGATTCGATCGCTAGAATAGTCTTGGATGTCCTGTGTGTTCTGAAAGTTTGTAATCATTCTATGTCTCTGGCCAGAGCTGACTAAGTGATGATTAGAGAATTCGATTCTCTAAGTCATGCACGTAAGGATTACAACACTTAGAACGATCGCACCGTCATCGAACATATAAAGAGGTCTCGATGAACCAATGCCTCTAGTTCGATCGGGACATATGTATCGAAGGGACCGTACTGTACGTTAACTATATCTGAAGGTTCTTGCAGGCACTTCATTTGTATCTAGGGAATCATGACGCGCAGTTGCTAGACGCCAATCTTGATTCGTTGGGTGATTAAGGTGAAACGAGCTTCATCTTAATCGTAACTCGAAGGGGACGAGTTTTGACCACAAAGGGTTGTGGGCCCACGGCTAGCTTACACCTGAACCATCGAGGGTCACACTGCTCGTGCACATGAGATCTTTGAATAAACGGTCAGAGATAAAATAGTTTATCTTTGCATAATTGGAAGTCAATACGATTGAGTCCAACATTCGTAATATGGAATTATGAATGAGAATAAGAAAAGGAAAAGAATAGGCGAACGTGTTAGTGAACTTTCTAAATCGGGAAGTTTCCAAATTTAGAAAGTCCACTGAACTAGGGTTTCCACTTTTGGAAAGTTGGAAAATGAGAGATGGCACTCGTAATGACGAGGAAGTTATAATGATTCCGAAAATGTAATCGTTGCAATTTTTCGGTCATTCAATTAAGAGAGACGAGCAAGTAAAGATACTAACGGACTT